CACATCACCTGTATATAGGCAAATTCAAATAAGGGTGTAGATACAAAGTATTCAAGGATTTGTAAAAGAATCCTATGGTTGGACTGTGAAATTCTAAAGAACTCAGAATACTTGAACACTGTAGTTAAATTTAGCCTCAGAATATCTGAAGCATGAAACAGTAACCTACCTGCCAGGCTTCAGGGTATTCTTTCAGGGTTCCCAGACCAGGATCTCCCCAAAGGAAGTCCCCACCTATTGTGTTGGCTTTGACATCCCCAGGAACTAGCACAACAGACTTAGTAACAGACTTAGTGCAGTTCTTCTAAATTTGAATGTGGGTAAAAAAAATTCTCTGGGTCAAGTGTAATCTGCAGCCATTCATCAATATTAATGAAACATAAAAGAGAGACTTTTCGTTTACTATAGCATCCTGAAGAAAAAAATTCTTCTTACCTAACTTATAAAATCATATTTACTATAAGAATGAATAAATAAGGTGTGAAAAACAAACTTCAATGTCTTGTCTGCGTTCAATTATTCCTGAGGACAGGGTTTGTGTGCAGCACATCAACAATTTGAAAACCTGATGTTGGTCTCCTTCCCACCAAGCCTTTTACCAGAGCTGACCCCCTGTTCCTGCCCTGTTCCCCATCTGGTGGAGGCTCTAATGAGCAGCGAAGTGGCCAAAGGGCAGGCAGCAGGGGAAACAGCAAGGGAGGAGCCAAGAGGCTCCATCATCTGCACACTCCAGGCAGTCCCTGGATGATAGAGCTGGTTGTAGCAATAAAGGATTTTATGTTTTACAACCGTAAATGCTGACAGCCTTTAGTTATAGACAGAATGTTCTGTCAGGTACCTAAAAGAAAAGGCATGGGTAAATTTGTCCAAGAGAATTTAGCTTATACAACACAGAGGTCCTCGTTTCAATCAGGAGAAGAGGCAGTAGGTTTGATTTAATCCAATCAGATTAAATTTTTTTCAAAAATGTTGAGATATATATGTCAGATCTTGAAGAATTTAGAATCAAGGATTTCTTGATTAAAAACAACTCCATTCTTAAAAACAGAACAAAAATATTCTCTTGGAATATGAAGTAATAATAGTTTTGCCTACTTACCTAGCCAAAACAAACAAAAAAAAGTGGCATATTAACTTTATTTATATATAATACAGGTATTCTAATCTTTTAGACATATTTACTTCCATCCATAAATACTTGAATTTGGGTGAATGCAGGTAAATATGGTATGTGAGTATGGATAATACACTGTATAAGAATCTAATATTTATATACAAGCTTTTTATTTTATATGATCATTCATATATAAGACCATTTATTTTTGCATGAAATGATCACTGAATTCCATAATATCTGTCCATTTTATTAAAATGAAGCTGAGATGATCTACTTAGTAGAGACTCTATAGATCTAATATCATATTTAGAGACAGGACATTTATCTGAGCTATCTCCTATCTAGAATTCAACATTCTACCATGCGTGGGAGTGGGAGGAAAGCCCGTCCTTCCCTGATTAAAGTTTAATAAGATCACCAGTCTACAATGGTACTGTAACCACCCCTTGGAATGGCTGACCTTGTGGTCAATGTTTTTATAATTCCAAATGGTCTGGGTCTAACAAAGATTGGTCACACCACACTGAATTGGATTACCGRGTGGGGCAGATTATCAATCTCTTTTCTGAAAATCTCTTTTAACAGAATAATTAAAAATAGCCTTCCAATATTAAAAGCAGCAAAAAGATTAATCTTGAATCAACATTTTAATGACCAAATCCAATTCTTGCTTTCTGGATATGACTTATTAGTGTTTTCATATTTAATCTTGTAATTTTAAATAAGTATTTTAGTAAATTTTGCAGTAAGTTACTAAAATAAAACAAGTAAGACACTTTTCCCCACCGTGGTCTTTTAGGGTTTGGAAAGCACTCATTTTTATCACAAAATATTGTAAAGAAAGGGATAGCTTCAGAAAATATTACTCTCCAACTCTGAATGCATTATATGCATCAGAAAATTTATATTTTAATTACTGAACATATATACAAAATCTGTGCACTTTAAAAAGAGCATCTACTATTTTATAAAGCATGCTAATTTACAAATTTCTAAGGGGCATGGGTTTCTCCTTCACACACTGAATTAGCAGACAGTTTTTGATGTTATATTAAAGTCATTTTTTCCCCTCTGACTCCATTACAAAGTTAGAATCATCTGCAATCTGCATTACTGGGTATCTCTTTCTAAACACTGATATTAAATTTCAGTTTAAACAAGAGAAGTGTTAAATTACAAATGGCTAAAAGTTTTTTTTTTTTTTTTTAAAGCAACAAACATCTGTAAGAGGAAAAGCAATGGAAATGAAAACCTAATGTTTTAGCTTTAACATTAGATTCCAGGTTCTTTAATATATGAATGCTTGGGATCCSTGGAAGAAAATCACAGTTTTAATCTTTCTGGTTATAGTAGATTTTATTCTGATTTAGCTCCTCCTTCTTGATACTCAATTCATCATAGAGATTTCTAGATTCTCACAAAGTTAGAAACACAAAAGCCCTTGTTACCTATCTAGAGACCTTAGATGTTTAACTAGCAAATGAAATTACATCCCTTGCCTCTGTATCCACAAGTATTTTTTAATAAAAGAAAGACCACTGTGCTCCAACCCCCACAAAAAAGAGGTGGGATGGAAAGGCATATTTTAAACTAAACGTACTGCACACACCCCATTACCAAATAAAGATAAGCAGCAGCACAAGAAAACAGCTGGAATTCTTACTAACTTCCTAGTGATCAATTGAAGTTAATTGGTCCTTGGGTCAATTTGTAGGTCAATCTCAGAATTTCCAGAATAACTTTTATTTTTTTTAAATATATTAATTCATATTTGAGACTATTCTCCTTCTGTTGTTAATTTCCTTTCTTATAAAAATATTCTGAAAACAAAACAACACCTAAAGTGCTGACTGTTCTCACTGATGTATTCTTCATTATCTGGTTCTTGCTTTTTTTTTTTTTTTTCTTTCTTCCAGCTTTAGTTGTTCACTGACATCTGGATAGAGCATTGCATAGATGAAGTTAACATCTTTATTATCTCATTGTATCCTTGGGTCTAAGTTCCACTCTAAAACTTTCTCCAAATAATTTTGATCACTAAACTAGCCATGTGATGAGCTTCCTTTTCCAGGCAAAAATGGAGAAATGCAAATATTACATAAATGCAGTTGGCAGCAAGACTGGCTAATGGAATCCCACAGAGGTTCTACAGAGAACCAGCACATCTCCATTTGTACATAAATGCAGTTGGCAGCAAGACTGGGCTAATGGAATCCCACAGAGGTTCTACAGAGAACCAGCACATCTCCATTTGTACATAATGAGGCAAACAGTAGAAATACTACTTTTCAAATTAAACAAGATATCCAAATCCTTCACTATTAGAAGAAAGGCATATAAACTGTAACACACAAATTTCCCCTATGCAAACAGACTTCAAATGTGCTTTAATATTGTTTGTAAGCAATCTTAAACTTGATAATATTCAGCATAGGTACATGGAAGGCATAATAATACCATAAAGGAAACTTGGTTAGTTTGACATGTCATTTCACTGTATGTGGGACCACTGGTGGCTGTAAGTAAGGAGGGCTTAGGCAACAACTAATATCAACATGAAAGTGTACAGGGGAATTAATCATAATTTCTATCATTTATTGAGCACTGTATGCTATACCCTTGATGAAGACTTTTGCCTGCACCCTCTCACAAGAATTTAATCCTTACAAGAATTTTATGAGACGTGTACATTTGGCAGATGAGGAAACCAGACCTTTTAAAAGGTCATGTAATTTGCTCAAGATTACACAGTTAGCCAACTGATAGGTCAGAATTTAAACCCAAGCCATCTGAAGTCAGATCCTGAGCTCCTAACTATATATTTTTTWAAAAAATTAGTCTCTATCTGATATCAAGGTCTGAAATCAAATTCTGCTGGGGTTAAGGAGACATAAGGAAGTAAACAGAAGAAGTGTGCTTAACCAAATCTAGTTAACCTGCTTCCTGGATCACTGGATTAGCCAATGCTCCAGCCCCTCCAGAAGCAAGACTGATGTCAATTTCTCTCCTATACCGACATATTTCTACTTACTCAGCTTTTGATTAAACTCCCAGCTACCAATCCTAATTATAGCAGATGAGGGTAACAGTGCAGATACTTTTTTCCAGACCTGTTACATGAATCTCTGAGAGTTATAGGATGTGGTTTTAAAAGCAAAAGTACTTTAAAACAAAACAATCCACAAGAATAAAAGGGAACCATCTGGCTTCTAAACCATATACATAGTAAATCCAGTCAGTTCAAAAATATATCTCCAACTCAAGGAAATCAGTGAATGACACTGTTGGAAAAAACTGAACTTACTATAAAGTAAAGCCTGTTTCCTATGGAAATCGCAATGATTTATTTCTTCAGTGCAAGCTTTCCAGCAAAGAATGCCACTGAACGGCATGCCTGGCTGTGACTGGTTCCCCAGTCACCAACAGAAGATATACAAGCAAAGAGGAAACACGTTGTCTAGAAAAAATACACAATTTCCTTTTATTTCCCCTTCTAAGTAGAACAGCTCTTCTTGGGGGGACCAAATCAGGGACTTGTAACAATTAATCACACAAAATTTTCCATTCTCACAGCCAGCAAATATTGGAAACGAGGACAATCAATGAGGATGCCCGGCTCTTCCCAGAAAGACCAGGGTGTCTATGGTGGACATCTCCTCTGGGCTTCTTCCAGCTTGAAGATCAGATGCCTGAAATCCAGGTTCCTCCCAGATAAGCAAGAACCCCACTAAGAAAAAAATGTAGAGCCCCTTTAATCTTGCTGTATGCTTTACTCTGGCTTGGCAGAAACATTAGCTGGGTGAGGATGAGTGATGGGAAACAAAGGCATAAAGATAGTTAGGTGTAAGCTAGAGGACTGTGAGGTTCTAGGGCAGGTTGCAATTCATTCACTCGCCAGTTGTGGAGCCATGGAAGACTGCAGAGAAGAGCAGTTTTTGTGATTTCAAACTTTGCAGGTTAATTGGAGAATATTATGGAATAGCCCAAAGGCAGAAGAAATGAAATGCAGAGTTAAGAGGCCCCACTCGATTGTGAGGTATTTGCCTGGTCAACTTCCTTTTGTGTATGTGTTGTGCATGGRCATTTGTGTGTGTGTGTATGTGTGTGTTGTTGAGGATTGAACCTCCCACATGCTAGGCAAACCCTGTACCACTGAGCCACACACATACCCAGCTCCATGCTAACTTTTATTTTAGTTTAGTTTAGACACGTTAGTCCTGCAACTTCAAAGGGCTCATCTATTGTCTATCACGTTGCCTCTTGGAACAAGTCTTTCATAGTCATCAATTCAATAGCATAGGATATCTTTTCAGAGTTCTGATGCTTAGAAAAGAGCAGACCTGTATTTTATGTTTTCCACTAACAACTTAATGAACAGTACACTCACTAGAGTATAATAGAAATAGTACTTTTTGACTTCTGGGATGATGTCAAAAAAGGCCTTGTAATTTCTTCTTGGTTACCAGAACACTTTTTCTAGGAACTCTGCATACAGATAAGAAGACTGACTTCCCAGAGACTGCTTAGCTGGAGAGTCCATGTATGCATGTTCTACTCCTAGAGATGCCCAGACTTCTGGTCAATCAAAAGCACCACACCTATCAATGAAGAAGTCTCCAAATTTCAGATCCAAAAGTATTGGAGTCGTCTCCTGATGCTTAAGTCCTCCCAGCTGAGGCCCCAGACATTCTGGAGCAGGGACAAGACTTTCTGCTGTTCCCTGTCCATATTCTTAACCAAAAGAATCCAGGAGCATAAGAAAATAGTTGCTTCTTTACACTATTGTTTTGGAGCAGTTTATTAAGCAGTAACAGGTAACTGGAACCACATGTACAGCAAGAGAGATGATAAACCAACCCACTGGTTACAGAATCCACACTTGCCATGTGATACTTAGTTCTGGGTGATATATTTCAATAGATTAAAAAACAAAGCACTTGAAAAAAGAATAACAAGAATGTTCCTTTATGGAGAATAATAATGAAAGAATTGGAGATACTTAAATCAAAAAAAGAGAACAAGTTTTTGAAGAGCTACCATCAGGGAAAGTGAAAACAATTGCTCTGTATATTTTCACTGAGGAGACCTGGAGACAGTGGGCAGAAGTCACAGGGAGTCAAATGGAAGACTCTAATTTAGACTCTCATAAGACTTTCCGGGAAGGAAGGGACAGCCTTGAGAGACAGTGAGTTCTCTGACATTAGAGGTGATAGGGCATGGGCTGGATGATCACCACATGCTAGTTAGTTTTGGAGAAAATTCATGTATGAACAACAGGCTGAATGAAAAGCACTTACATTAAGGTTACACTGTGACACTGAGATGTTTTTAATCTAAAGATCATCCCCCTTTCCTTGTGCTAAGAAATCTAATCCCAACACATGTGGAACAGGAAAAAAAAAAGCCAAGATGAATCAATTAAATGAAAGGCAATACCAAAGTGTAAATAGAAAGTGATGCAGAACTCAAGAGTAGAAGGAAATGGCAAAATAACAGGAAAACATAATCTAGGATAGTAGGAAACTTTAAAAAAGGTAGAACATGGAGAATAAACCAGGGGCAGGGAAGAGGAAAGCCAAGGATCCCATTACAGAAAATACTGGGTACAGAGGCTGCCTTCACCCTCTTGAGAAATGGCTTGGGTTAATGTTAGGACTCGTTCCTTCTATCAGTAGGCAAGACAGACCAGAAGTCCCTGGGTAATGTGAGAACAAGGTTCAAATGGTAAAATGAGCAACCACTAATTTTCTGGCCTCAAAATTCACAGCCTGTATGTGCCTGTGGGGTCCAGCAAGCTTGTATGGATGCGACTGTCTTTAAGGTCAGTTTGTAGACAACGTCCACTAAGGGAAGTAAACAAACAAACAAAAACATAAAACAAACAAAAAAACGGAAATTCAGCCCTTGTTTTCTAACAGAGACATTATGAAAAAGAAAACACAGATCACCTAGAAAATGATATATATCCAAAACAAAGCATAAAATCAAGAAAATAAAATATTAAAAATATCTCATACACATTTCATCTGAATTTTATCACCATTTGTAATCAACTCCCAAGGTTTCGTAATACCTTCAACCCTAGTTACTCAACCCACTGAACAAGTCTTCCCATTGTTACTCTACGTGAAGGAAGAATGGAAATTCCTTTGATGTTGATAAGACATAGAAAAAGGAGTCCCCTTCAGGAAAAGAAAGTGTTTGGAGTAAAACCCTGGAGCCTAATCATAAGCAGTGATAATCTGTCCTTGCCTTAACCCTTTCAAAGATGTAACACACCAGGAATTTAAAATATATGTAATCCTTGAAATACAACTAATATATTCTTTTTTTTTCTTTACAATAAACAAACAAAATATATCTTATCACTCACCCATTTCCTGGGTCTGCCTCTTGGCCGTTTTTCTCCAGTGGCTTCTGCTTTCTGCAAAATGAAAAAGGAAGTTATGTAGTTTCCTACCTGACATTATTTGTAAGTACGCCATGAATAGACACATTTCAAAGAAAAATGTTCTGGATTGCAGATGAGGTATTGAGAGTGTGTTAATAACCTTTTTCCTTTAAGGTTTATCTTTTGCATTTTTCAGTACATTCTCCTTCCCTGCATGATGCAAAAAAAATATCTATGCAAATCCTTACCATTAAAAACTTCTCTGGAGTGATCTCTTCTGAAATGCATAAAAATCCTTTTGTAAAATCTATATTGTTTTTATTTCAGTTCAAAAAAAGTGAAATATTCCCACATTCCATAATTATATGAATTTTAGAAATGAACATTCCTTAAATGGTCAAGATTTGCTTTCCACGTAACAACTAAAGTTATGAAAATTTCTACTGACATGTTGGTTTAAATTTACCAAGCACTTGTATCTATGCTGCTAGTGGAAAGCAAGTCTAAATGTAAAAAAAAAAAAAAAAAAAAAAAAAATAGAAAAAAGAAAAAAAAAGAATACATAAGCATTCTAGTTCAAAATAATAAACATCTGCCCACTTCTATGGGGTTGATTTCCTGTTTCTGGCCCAAAATAATCACCTGTCAATCAGTTCACCTAAAGCAGAAGGGGGAGGGTAGAAGCTGGTAGAGATCATCCATGTTTGCCCCTAAGATGGAAACTTAGGATGAATGACTAAAAATAACAGTTAAACATATACATTCCAAAATAACTTAAAATATACATTATTAATAATTCCACACTCAAAGCTGACATGAATATTATTTCCAAGTATCTTCAGAGTTTGTTTCATTGCCTTTCTTCATAGATCTTTTCTATATTGCTTGTTGGTTTTCTTTTTTCTCTTTTTTATTTTAACTGTTTTGATACAAATTTTAACATTATTTATAAAGTAATTAGCCTTTTTGTTTTTGTCATCCCCTACTCTAATTCCCAAGCACACCAAGATAATACACACATACACAGCACRTCACATCTACAAAAACATGTGTTTATACTTTTCAAGATAAAGAAAACTTAGTACATGTTGCTCTCTGTATGAGAATGATCCTAAGGCTAACTCCACATAAAACTATAGACAATCTGAGCCAGGACAACTTGTTTTCCATTTTACTTTTGCTACCTAGCTGAGCAGCCAGTGGATATTTGGTACTGTTAACTAAAATGAGATATTTTGACTGTCTACTGCCAAATCAAACTTACCTCTTTCTCTCTTCAATTTGCCTAATAAAAATAGAAGGTTAATAGTTGATAGATAGATAGATGGCATTACTATTCAGCAGGTCCATTAATTGATCCAAACTCCATGTGACTGTAATGTTACCTCACATTTTTGGAGTATTTAAGTTACTCCAGGCATTGACTAAATCAGTCACATAGTTACTTTAACTCTCACAGCAGCCTTCTATGAAGGCAAGAAATTAAGTCTTAGATTAGGTAACTTGCTCAAGGTCATACAGGAAGTTGTTAAGTGGCATACCTATTCTACTGACTCCAAAGATGGTGCTCCTACCCTCTTAACAATGTCACCTCCCCTTAGTACACAGGACCTGCTATTAGAGAAAATATCTTGGAAACTAAAATTGTCATTGATTCAGCTCATTTTTCAGAACAAAAAGAAATCTGGTGGCTTTTAGGAGCTCTATCTGTCTAATTTGGGCTCTGAATTGTTTATTACTTCTGAATGGCTCCACAAAGGAATCATTATTGTTGGGGACCCCGGCATTGCATGGCTTAAATTCAGTGGAAGCCAGGAGTACCCGGTGAATCACACTGCCTTTCAGGGTGGTGTCTTATGGAGAAGGGAGGTGTCCTGAGACACAGACCATATTTTGGTAAGCTTAGATTCAAATCCTTTCTCTGCCACATTACCTTTATGACTTTGGGCAGGTCCCTGAAAACCTTAATTTGAATCCACCTGTAAAATGGTGATGTTGTCTCCCATAAGGAGACATGGAGGTACCTGGAAGTGCCCACCATAAACAACGTACTCATAAATGTTCTTTCATTCCTAACAAGACGGAACCCTTAAAGGGAAGACTTTTTCTTTCAAGTTCATCTGGTATACAGAAGATTAAGTCAATACAAATATTCCATTACACCCACCTGCCCCCTTTAGCAGAAAGCTTTTAAGAAACCCTTTAGTACATAGTGAGTCATAGGAGTGCCAAATTCCCTGGTACAGAAGCAGCATTTGATTTAATCTTTGGAAGCAACTATAAGATTGCAATTTACTCAGTAGTAAATTACACAAGCATAGAAGATAGAAATCCTGTTTAATGGAAATGGGTAGTGAGTGGGGTTGGGGTAGGGAGGGATGGCTATTGACCTTAAAGTTAACGGTGCTCTATTAGGCCTTTCTGTGTAGTTTTTATGTTTCAGAGGCCATGATGTGATCCGGGTATATCTGAAATCTCCTGAAGAGAAGAGTTTTTCTCCTAAAAGGGTTTCACTGCATTGCCAAGTCAGAGAAAACAAATATCTCAAAGAGAGAGAAAGTCCTTGCAARTAAGATGACTTTTAATTGAGCATCTCATTTACAAAAAGCCTATTGAGAAATAAAATTCATACCATTAACTAAAAGGCAAAATATCATGATTATCACTTGGACTTGTTAAAAGCAAACTTGCTCCTTGGCCACACAGGCCAGTGTTATATGTAAACTGAAACCCTCTTCTGAGACTACATCTAGAAGAAACACATTAGCTGTGCTGTGTGCCCTCAATCTGGGAGGTTCTCATTGTTCTTTAAAACCCACATTATTTAATGATTCTAATCAAACTCCACCAAGGCTGCAAAATGAGTTAGGATTTTAGGTTGTAAACCTGCACAGATTCAGGAGTTTTGCATGTTGGAAAGTACTGGCTTTAACATTGTTTTCCTGTGTTTAATGCTCTCCAGGATATTGCTTTTCAAACAAGACAAACAAAACGTTCAGGGGACTTGTTTTAATATGTCAACATACACAATACTGCAGAAGTAGCTATTTGGTTTTCCTTACTGGAATAGTTTGGTTCTATACTCCAAAAGCTTGTATAAGTGAGTCACAACTAGTTCCAAGTACTTCCTGCTTATATAGACAAGGGGAGCGACAGTAGGGATTCTCCACTTGGAAAAAAGAAAAATTGTTTTTGTCAGCACTATTATGCTAGTATTCACAACTATCTATCATTAAAAGTGCTTCTTCCTCCTTGATTTTCTTTATTTATATTTTTATTTCTTTGTTAAAGTTTATATATAGAAATATATACTTCATTTTATATTTAATGTTGAATAGGAATTTGTACAATGGGAAATGTATTTCTTTCTCTAAGAAGTTCTGATGCTCTAGGCTGTTACATTTTCAAAAAATGGTAATTAAGGGCTGGGGCTGTAGCTTGGTGGTAGAGTGCTTGCCTTGCACGTGTGAGGCATAGGTTCAATCCTCAGTACCACATAAAAAAAATAAAGATTTAAAAAATGACAAATTTTTTTAAAAAAGGTAATTAAAAAAGGAAATTCAAGACGTGCACAGTAGTGCACACCTGTAATTCCAGTGACTCAGAAAGCTGAGTTAGGAGGATCAGAAATTTCAGGCTAGCCTGGGCAACTTAGCAAAATCCCATCTCAAAATGAAAAATCAAAAGGTCAGGAAATATAGATCAGTGGTAAAGTACCCCTGGGTTCAATCCCCAGTACTGCAAAAAAATAAAAAATAAAAAAAATTAAGAAAAATAAAAGAAAAGCAAATATTGCTCTTGAATTTGAAAACAGTACATTACTTGGTGTTAGAGCCTAGCTTAGAAGAAATGTTCACTATGTGTTTGAGGAAGGAAGGGAGGGGAAATGAATGAGGGGAGGGGAAGGGAGAGGCATTGTGTTTATATATGTTTTATTTTCTTCTTACCATCAAAATTCTGGAGCTTGGCAAGATTGCAGATATCATTTCTTAAAGTACTCTCATTTAATAAATAAGAAAACTTCTGGATGCACTAATCTCCAAATTCCCTGTGGGCTAGAAGTCTGTGGGTATCAGTGGTAGAAGGCACACATTTCCAATCCCTTTATAAGCTTGTAGAGTGGCTCTCCAAAAGCTTCTCACAACTTAACTTTGGAACTGCATTTTAGCTCACTGGAGATAACAGAAATCTACCTTGTAGCAGTCAGTTTATAAAATATTTGACAGTTCACAGTAGTGGAAAGGATATAAGCTTTGGAATTAGTTGCATTTAAACCCAGTTTTTTCCATTAGAGATGTCACAGATTACAACCACGAACCACAGTCTGTCATTGGTAGAATGGAGACCACAACAACTAATAAAGAGATTAAAAGAGCTAAGATAAACAGTATGTAAAGTACCTGAAAAAGCTATGGCATTTGGTGGGTACTCAAATGTAATGTCTTCTTTGCTCTCCTCTTGTTTTAGAATGTTGCTCTTTAAAAGAATACCTAGCAATTCTGAAAGTCTCCGCAGTGTTTTTCTGGAGACAATTTCACGTTAGTAGGCCAGCCATTACTTCTGATTTTCCACCTCATACAAGATGAAGCAACCTGCCCACATTTGTCAAGTAGTGGGACAGAGACCCAGTTGGATGTCAAGGCAGTAAGGGTCTATTCTTCCTGAAGATATTCCTGTATGAAACTAAATTGCCATGGGCAAATTTTAAAAACAAAAGGAAACCTTCTAGGGTGAAAATCAAATGAGTAGCCAAAAGTAACATATTTTCAATATTCCTATAAAGATATGGACAAGCACAGTGATCAGGAAGCAAGAAAATAATTCATTTCCAACTTCAGGGACTAATTTAGGCAAATATCAATTTTTTGCAATTGTAAATGCTCCCATCATGTTTTATCTACACTGTGATGAATGACACATGGAAGTCAGAATTTCCTACTCCAAATACATCAGTGCATCTGCACAGGAAAAAAAAAACTATAAAATATGTGGGTGTGGGGGGGTTCCTTATTTTGTTTTCATGTATTCTGACT